ACGAGGAGATACTTCCAGGGGCCCACAAGATCACCCTGTCACTAGCAGCAGCTAGCTTTACTGCTTCCACAACTCAGGCAGAACAATCACACACCTAGAACACACAGTGGCGACACCAGAGAAAACCACCCTCTGTCATCCAGTTCATTCCCAGCTTATATGACCTCAGAGAGGTGATTGCTGACTGGGCCCAGGTGGTAAATGAGGCCAATGAGCAGCAGCTGTGTCCTGGGGAGAGAGAAGAGCGAGAGAGAGACAGAGGGGCGGAGCAAGAGAGTAGGAGGCAAAGAGAGAACACCACACCCACACAATAGTAGTTTCAGGAGGTCCTGCTAGGGCCGTATCACTGACTGCTTGAAGTCAAGCATCCATCCACTTAGATGGCCTCCATCAGTTTTCTTTAGCACAGTCTTACTCGCTCTGGAATCGGTGTTAACCATCCTCATCTGTGAGAGTGTGAGGCTCCACACTGAGCTCATTTTTTATTAATTAATTTACTTACATTATGTCCTGGTAGCTTTAACCTTAGAATTTAAACCATGTGTAGTTGAGCAGACTCAGTCCTCCCTGCATGTTTCAGGTGTTGCTGTTACAGAGAGAGAACGGCTGCTGTCAGTCTGCCATGTTTAAATCAAGGCAAAATACTGTAGCTGTGTTTCTGCTAGAGCTGGGTGATAGAACGATAACGATATGTATTGCAAAATAACGTTTTCTCGATAGAAAAGTTAAACTATTGCGATAGGCCTCATCTCTCTTGTCCTCTTAAAAAAAAAAAAAAAAAAAAAAAAAGCCAATCTAAATTAAGTAGCGCAGAGCCGAACCAATCACAGTCGCAGCGTCACGTCACGTGACTTGTTACGTACAGCACAAGTGCCAAGCCGCACATGTGTATTTGTTTGGGAAGCAGCCAGCCGCCGTGCCGCCCGGGTAATGGAGGAAATGAGTGTGCCGACTAGAGAAAAATCAACCGAGAGCGTGACCGAAGGTTACCGAAGAGAAAACAGATGATGGTTCCAATGAGATTGTCGAACGGAAGAGCCATAGAAGTTCTGTAGTGTGAAGGTATTTCGGCTTTTTCAAGTCTGACAAAAAACAGAGTAGCGTGCACTGTAAATTGTACCGAAAGCAAGTCTGGAAATACAATAAACAGAACAAGCATGCTCATCTCTGACTGGAAGCGCTAATTCGTCATTCGGCTTTTGTCAGACTAAAGTAACTGTTAAAACTGTTTGAAAAGCTCAGCTATACAACAAGGAGAGATTGAGAATTTCCTTTTAGTTCTCAGTTGATTTGATATTGACAAAACTTAGTCAATTTTGTCTGTGTTACGCCCCACTTACAAATGAAGTGTTGACTGGGGTGAGGGGTAACACAAAGTGAAAGAGAACACATGAACTACTGGAGAATAGATGTCATTAAACATGATTTATTGCCCAAATCTACTACAGTAAAAATAAACTCAGGGAAGCTCTTTTCTTCAGGGTCTCCAAGGCCAAAACAAACAAAACACCCCCTTTAGCTAGAAATCAAACCAAGTACTCACTAACCAAAACAAGATACAATGGCTGAGTTCCCTGTCTAACCAAAAACAGGAGAAAACAGTTGAAACTAAAATGGCAGAGAACCCCTACCTGCTTCCACAACAATGAACTAATTAACACAATAACACAATCGCACAACCTTTGCTTACAATGAAAGAAAGAAAACCAAAGTTCCACAGAGTTTAAGGTCTCACACACATACACACTAAGGCCCGCTGCCCAAAACAATACAGCTCCGGCAAAAATGGGGGAAGTAGCAGGCGTGTGGCAGTTTAGGATGGCAGACTATATGCCGTGGCTGACAAACACACCTCAGCTGTGGCTCATGAGGCAGACCTGCAACACAAGAAAAGGAGAAAAGACACTCCTCTACAGAGGGAGAGCCACTAGAGGTCATCGACCGTAACAGTCTGTTCTTCTGTAAAACAAACTAAGATTTATTTTTAGAATTAATATTTTGTTTCTAAGTGGTATTGACATTTTAGTAGTCTGTTTCGTTTGTTCTATTTTGAAACTTAAACGCTTTAGCGGCTGCCTTTTGTGTAGTTTGCAATATTTGCCTTTATTTATCTGAAAAAGTCTCATGTTCCTTAAGTACATCTACCCTGTTAAACTTATTATGAGAAATAAATATTTAAATCCAAACAAGCTGCTGATTATTTCACATTTTAATTGTGAGCAACGGCACATTTAAATCTTACAAATATAGTTATTTGGCTTGTATCGTGATATATATCGTTATCGCCTGAAATGAAAAAAACATATCGTGATATGAAAAAATTTATATCGCCCAGCTCTAGTTTCTGCCCTCTTGCTGTAATGTTCCTGAGACCAGCTGAGCAGAGTTACTAATCTGTAAGCAGTTTCCAAATTCCAGAATCACCGCCTGGATCGTTCTACAAACTTTGGAGGAGACTGATCACATTATAAATTTGAACCTCTCATGCTGAAATCATCAGTGATCCCTGACACATCTGGACCAGCTGTGATAAATTGTTGTTCTCTTACATCATCATCTCCTCTGAATTTTGTTTTAAAATTAATTCATTCATGGTTGAGAACATACGAGCTGATCTTTGTACTATAAACTGACAAACCCCAGTTTGCCTGTGTAACAACTGTATTAGGAAATTAAAGATAATTAATTCAATAATTATCAGGGTTAATGACACAATCACACTGAGCTCACTGAGGTGTTAAAATAATCCTTTTTCAGTTTGCACTTTTAGTATTATTATCCTAGTATTTGAAGTGCTTCATATATAAACATTGTAAATTATGTAAACAGTGTAGTTTGTTTGGTGTGACAGAGCTGTTGTCACTGAATCAAAGGTTCAGATGTTCCAGCCTCATAATAAACAAACACATTTTCAGAAATTCGAGGATTTGACCTTCCAAAAGTCTCAGGCATGTTTTAATGATAGTGATGTGTCGGTTGTGAACGAAACGGCTCTTAGAGCCGGGTCTTTGAAGTGAACGACGCGAGCCGGCTCCTTATTGGGAGCCATGGTTTTTTATTTCTTCTTTCTCTCACCCTCGCACTTTTTTTCCGCTTCACTCCACGTGCGAGCCTTGTGCTTTGCGCTGGGCAGAGGGGGGAGGGGCAGTAGTTACACTCAAGTAGCACAGGAACAGAGCGGGAGGGAGAGAGAGAGAAAGAGAGCCAGGGACAACAACATCACATTAGAAAGGTATAGTAATCATCCACAACTATTTTCAGTTGCGGATGATAAAGGATTCAGAAAGTTTATTCATGCAGGCCCATATGACAGAGAATATGCATCTTTTTGTTTTCATATTATAAATTATGTTTAATTGTGTTGTGGTTTGCAGTGTTTTGTGTTGTTTCACTTTAAATTTGTTTAAAAAGAAAAAACTGAAAATTTAAAGTTAAAAGTTGAAATGTGAATAGTTGTTTTTGTATTATATGATATATTTATTACATTTTATGTGGAGTGAATAAATCAAAGTATATTTACGGTGGCTGCTAGAGACAAAGCACGTACAAACCCCGAAGCACGTAAAAACTCAAAACACGTACAAAACACAAACAGAAGTGCTCCAGGACGCTAGGCACAGTGTTGAGCTTTTGTTACCTAGTGGCTACACAAGCCAGGATGTACCAATGACCAGATTTGGTGTGTTGTAGTATCAGGTAAATGAACAATATATTATTTGTGTATAAATACACAAACAATACACGCTTTCAATTGTGTAATTTAAGTGATCTAGGTAGCTCTGTTTTGGAAGTTCAGTTCACGCTAGAAATGTGTTTTGGAGTTTGTACGTGCTTTGTCTGTAGGGGCCACTGTATATATTTATATATAAACATATATAAATAAAACAACTTTTTTTACATTAGTTATCCCCTTTGTGCATAATTTTATATTGTTGTTAATTATAAATTAATTAAAGCAACAAAACAACCTGAAGAGCCGTTTGGGAGCCGAAAGAGTCGGCTCTCTAAAAAGAGCTGGAAATCCCATCACTATTTAATGAGCTCTCACAGATCTGCATATCAGCTGGATGAAACCAACATGACCTCCGACCCTGAACGAACTGTTAGACCCTAATTAAACATCAGAGCTTTGGGGGCGCTGAGCACCCAGAGGGTGCTCTCTCACACATAATTAAACATCTTAATTAAGCCATGTAATAACAACATGTGCATAATAGTGCAAAAGCAACATGACAAATTTTGTTCAGACAGTGAATGGAATGATTCTTATACAGCATTTTTCAACTCTCCCAGATTACTCAAAGTGCTCTATGCAACATGCTACATTCACACACTTTCTCTTAACTGAGTGCTTCCTAACTACATTCATATATGCTCGCACTCATGACATGCAGACTGGAGAAGCCAGGGATTGAACCACTAACTTTCCGATCAATAGGTGACCTGCTCTACCGCCTGAGCTACATCCACTCACTGGCAAAGATGAGTAAACCCTCACTAGGTTTTGGATAAAGTGTACACTCACAAACCTGTCAAACGTGCACTTGAAACATTGGCTACCATTGCGGTATAGTATTGCAACATGGCATTTGGGTCTTCTAACTAAAATAGGAAAATAGGAACATAAATAGTGCCGCATTGCCAGACCTGGCCCGCATCTGGTTGACATACACTCTGCCATGACACCAGTCAGTCAGAAGTGCCAGCTTAATGCTGGATCCCGGCCAGGCCTGTTTTCTATGAGCCTGGGCCACATAAACCAAACCACAATCGAGCCAGATATGGCATGACATCACATAGACAGTGCCATCTATGGCAGGCCTGGCCCATATCTGGATGACAAACGTCTTATCGTGCCAGAAGTCAGTCAGCAGTGCCGGCTTGATACCAGATCGGGGCCAGACCTGCTTGCTATGAGGGAAAAGGGGATGGATTCTGTTCTGTTCTTCACTCATCACCTACCTGACAGCTGACACCTCACACCTGTTTCTCACCTGCAGGTCAGACAGGAGGAGACAGAAATGAACTGTGAGTCAGACGATCTAAGGACAGACACCAATGAACTTTCCTGAACATCCAGCAGACATCTCTGATCATCATCATGCTCACACTCAGACCAACAGTGTGTGTCTGTGCTGTCAGTGACTCTGAACTACAGTTTATTCATCTTCAGGCTGTTCATGAGATTTACTGACACAAAGTCAAACCGTGTTACAAACATACATGAATTTTTGTGAGCTCTAATGTCAGGATCAGTGAGTGTTTTTGTGTTGGTTTAGGTTAGGCAAATTAATTCTTTTATGTTGGTGTGATTGTTTATTAGCTTCATGTGACTTTTTCCTCCTTAAGTACAGCCCACTGGAAAACACTTTGTATAAAAAAAATCTTCTCTTTGCCTGACATTTTTTTAGTTTGTAAATCCATCTCATCAGATTTAAGAGGTTTTACAAACTGTTATAGGGGTGTCCAAATTCATGGGCTGCATCCTCTTGAGGCTGCATTTGTAGGCCGATTACGTGACGAAGGCTGTCCAAATTCGTAGACTTCTCCGAATGCAGCTGACAAATCTCTTCTCCTTTTCCCCGAATTTGAAGGATGGGTCGGGTGTGTCCTTCGTGGCCCACCGTATCCCAGAATTCATAGCGCGGCCCAGCCAATTCCAGTTTTCAACAATGTCGGCAGCTACTAAGTTTTTAATATTACTCTTATTACTCTTTCTGGGTCACAAAATACACTTTTAACATATTTTCAGGCGAGAATGTAGCTGTGGAAAGTTCAAATATCTGCTCGGTTTATCAAGATATCACATATTTGCAAATGTTTGAATGTATGGTTCATACAGAACTTGGTCAGTGACACTCACATAAATACATGAGTACATTACATTAACACATGAAAGAACAACAGTGTGGCATTAATCATTACAGCAGTAAGGACCATTTTTAATCAGCAGCCAGTTTGATGAACTGATGCTCTGTTGTCTGGTCTGACCAAAGCTCTAACTCCAAACATCACTCCACTGTTAAAGCTTCTGCACTGACTGTTTCAGGTTCAGTTCAAATCATGGTTCTTATTTTTATGGCCTGACGGTGTGAAGCCTCCACCTACATGACTGAAGTGCTCCACCCTGCTCGACTTTTTTTACTCCTCTCTCTGTGGTCTTCTTTAAACAGCCTCTTGGTGTTTTCTGTGTTGTTTGGTTCATGTGTCCACTGTGCCTTTATGAACACTGTTATATCTCTGCAAAGGAAAGGGCATTTTTTTAAAGACAATGATAATGAGGGAATTTGTCAGGTTTATATAGTGGATTGTCATTTATGCTTAGAAATATCTACTCATATATGCTTAGAGTTTTATAATCAATGGTAGAGGTTTGATCCTTAATAGTCTGCAAAGACTTTGTGTGCATTCCAGAGTGTTCTGGCATTCACACCTACGTCCTGGGAGCATGGGAGAGGTCGTACCTTCTCTTATTGTTTTATGGTAGGATAAACGTATCTATGTCTGTTTTAGGCTAAGTGCCTTTTGTTTAGATGAACTGCTGGACTTCCAGACCAGCAGGTTTAGCGAAGTTGTTTATGGGGACACACACTGGCACCCCCCCCCCCCCCCCCCCCCCCCCCCCCACACACACACACACAACACACAGGCAAGGTACTCTTTGTGTGTATGTATATGTCATATGTTAATGAACCTTCAACGCTCCAGCGAATAGGTTTAAGCTACAAACCTATCAGAATTATTTCTGTGAATGAATGAAATATGAGCAGAATGTAAGGGCTAATAAAGCCCTTGAGGTGACTTTTGTTGTGATTTGGTGATATATGAATAAAATTGAATTGAATTGAATAAAGATTTACACATATACCTGTTGAATGCGTTTTTTTCATTGTTTTTGTCCCTGCAATCACAGACAAACCTCTATTTTTGAAGTGTCTTTGAGCAACTAATATACATCTTCCTCTGTAATATAATGCTGTGGGTAAACATGGCTGCTCTGGATTTACATCTGTGGATGGATGTGTTGATAAAATTATGAACCTGTATCTGCTGTGCGGACAGACCGATCACTGGAGTATTAAAGCTGCTCTTGAGTTTAAGTTTTATCCCCAGAATACTGAGTTTAGCCTCCATCTCCTATCTGTCAAACAATCTTCGACAAAAACTTGACTGGATTAGTGAGAATGACAGTTTTAGAATAAAGCCAAGAGTCACTGACTGCATGAACACATCAGGTATTCAGCAACTTCCTGTAAATTACAAGAAATCAGAGTAGAGGAGAGCAACTGAATACACTTCCTCTTTGTGATGGAGGTGATTTTCTTCTTTATATTGTGTCAGATAAAGCCTGACAGCTTCTCTTGAATTCATTTCATATGCTGTTTTTTCACAGATGAAACCAGCCAACAGTAAACCAGATGCTTTACACCTACCTTCACATGACCTTCATCTGTAAGTGTTGGGCCTGTGTTTCCACAAGCCCTGCTGGTTTAGAAACGTATTCTTGTTAACGACAAAAACAAGATGAACATCTTTTACTTGCTAGCACAATACACACAATACACATCACAGCACCTCCCACGTAAAACCCCCCAAATGGTTCTAAGACAAGGCACTATGTGTGTGTGTGTGTAAACATCTGTATGCATGTGAGAATGTGTGTGTGTGTGTGTGTGTGTGTGTGTGTGTGTGTGTGTGTGTGTGTGTGTGTGTGTGACCTCCTGCTGACCAAAAGGGTCATATAAGCAGGAAGCAACATCACAAGAAACAGATTTTCCAGATAGAATGTATCTGCAATAAAAGCCTCTCCCAGCACAGTGGTCAGAGACAAAGGAATGTCTTGATCCTATAGATTGAACTCAGACCTTACAAATTTAAGAAGCATAATGATAACATTCAACAATTAGACTTAACACAAAGGATCTCTGAAATTCTCAGAAACTCATAATCCATCTCCCAGTGGGTGCAGCAACCATGTGTCAAAAGTGGTCAATTGAGAAATGCTAAAAAGCGTATTCATGTAAACATCGTCGGGTCTGCCCTGGTACAATGGGACTTCTGCTCCTGAACCTCTGCGCACAGCGTCTGCAAATCGGGGCTGTACAAAGTCACTTCATCTTTACGCAACACTGCAGTATATTTTGGTGATCATAACGGTTATACCGTTTGAAATATTAAGCTTTTTTTGCAATTTTTTGGCCCATTGAAATTAATGGACCACATGACAAGTGTGATCATTGATTTTTCTTGCATAGTGAGCTGTGTCTTAGTTCAGTGAGATGAGCAGCCATTCTCAGAGTGGGGGGCCTGGGTTTTAAGTCCCGCTGATGGCAACATTTCTTTTTCAGTTTGCAGTTAAACTTTTTTAAAAGTCTTTTCAACACAAATTTCAGCTTCTTCACCCCTTTTCAGCAAAATTCCAGATTCTTCATCTGTTGTCAGCAGAAACTTCAGCTTTGTGACCTCTTTTCTGCGCAAGGTTCTGCTTATTTACAACTTTTCAGTAGCATTGTTCTGCTTCTTCACCCATTTTCAACAGAATTTTCATCTTCTTGGCCTGGTTTCAGCTGAATTTTTAATTTCAGCTGACCATGTCATTCTCATCTATTGTACATCCTAAATGCGTATAAATGGGATCGGATGATGTCCAATAAAAGTAATAAACAATAAATGTAAATCTCTTTTTTTAACTTTGCAGACTCATTTTACCCACTCCAGTGAAAGCGATAAGAAAAGGATCATGGCTTTAAATAGACTATGAACAAAATGAAATACATTTTGTTTATGCAACATAAAAAACTTCTACCTTTTCCAACTCGGATTTTCTGCAGGACCAACACGGACATCAGTTCAGACTGAAATCCAGTTCAGATGGCACACGCAGCACTAACTGTGTTCAACCTTGCACGGAGGCCTTTCAATAAATATAAGAAGATGGTTAAGGTGAGAGATTACTATTCTGTCTTTTACATCGGTACAAAGGGGGGACTAAATGCCAAAAAAGAGAGAAGTTGTTTTTTTTTAATGACGCTTTAAAGCAGTTCAAGTATCTTTGTGGGAGAAGGGACTAACTGCGGCCGAGGTTCTGAAAGAGACGGTCGCTTCACCGATGACCCTGGGCTACTTTGAGCTGGTTAACATCAATGACGAACGTAAGACTGAGTGCAGAGACATAATTGATCATCTGGACAATAAGAAAATCCAAAATATGTTTTCCACAAGGAGCAGATACAGAAATAAAAGATGTAGCCATCCCATGGTAGCAGAAACCTCCACATGCATCAAATAATGCAAAGCGCAGAGGTGCAATGACGGTCTTAGATGTAGCACAGCAGAACGGATTGTGTTTAAAAACCCTAATCAAAGAAACGGCAGCAACATTGACCGTAAGGAGGTTTACGATCTACTTTGTCAGCAGTGTCCGCATCTGAAACAATGGATGGAGAGTAGATTCCCCAGAAATTCTTTCTAGGAAGCAGTGAAATACAGAAAGGAGAACTTTGGAAAGAGCCGACAGTCTTTTACTGAAATTCGCAGTGTTATGTTGCTGCTCGAACTGAGCAAGTCAGTTTGTCTCATAACTGGTTCCTTCATAAAGCAAGGCACAGACTTTGTGCTATTTGACAACTTTGTCTTGACCAACGCCCACTTATTCAACTACTGGGTTAAATCAAACACACCTAACTGGCGTGAATTTGTAAACATTACCGTGGTCTTAAACTTTGAAGACCAAGAATTGGACAAGAACAACCTTAACGCTAAGGTGTACTTTATTAAAGAAGGCACATGTTAACAGCACAAACACCAACTGACTAAAAACAAAATGGCTTTCTTTTATACTCTACCTATTCAGGTGAGCATCCGGACTAGCCCAAGTATGGGGGTTAACTAATCAAAATGAAAACAAAACCCTCCACACAAACAAACATACAATAACATTAGAGCACATAACAAACATATACATATTTCCAAAACGTACTATAAACGAGTCAGTAACACAAGCTTTAACCATTACTATCTAAATTAAAACCCTATCTAAATCAAATCACAACAACAGTTGCCTCAAGGCGCTTTATATTATGAAGTAGATCATACAATAATAGATACAGAGGGAAACCCAACAATCATATGACCCCCTGTGAGCAAGCACTTTGGCAACAGTGGAAAGGAAAAACTCCCTTTTAACAGGAAGAAACCTCCGGCAGAACCAGGCTCAGGGAGGGGCGGAGCCATCTGCTGTGACTGGTTGGGGTGAGAGAAGGAAGACAGGATAAAGACATGCTGTGGAAGAGAGACAGAGGTTAATAACAGATATGATTCAATGCAGAGAGGTCTGTTAACCCGTTAAAGCCGGTCGGAGTGGGCATGCTCCATTTATTTTTTTTTTTTTTGCCTGTCCTATTTGGTTCTTTAGCCATCAGAATTGTTGTCTGAAGACCAACAAGGAAGACCTGTTAATCTTCACCAGGTAGTGACAAAGAATTAACATCCACCTTCTTTTTCTTTTGTGGCCTATTTCTGGCATTCACCAGTGGAAAACCTTAGGAGAGCAGGACCTAGATGTACACATTGATAGATATAAAAAATATAGCAAGTGGATGAAACTAACCCTGGCCATAAATGGGTCCCCGAAGACCAGGTGAACATTAAGAGTTTAAACATTTTTGGGTGGGATTGATGATCTGAACTAGATCAGCAACAGTCTCACAGAGAAAGAGTGAAGAGAAAAGAGTGGGTGGTGTTGTGGAAGTTCAGAACTTCTGCTTTTTCCAAGTGTGAAAAATCTAAATAACGTGACTGTTGCCTCCTTTCAGTTCCCACTTTACTGCTGAGCTGCACAGGATATCAAGGTCAGTAACTTTCTTCTGTCAAACTTTGAAACTTATGAAATTTCAATGCAACAAAAGGACTGTATGAATATAATTATAATTTAACAGTTCAGTGCTGGTCCAGCTTTGATGCAGCTCAAAGATGTCACTCGTTTCATTTCATGAGAAATGCAGGATAACGGCCCCATAGCTTTCAGGAGAAATTTCTGACAATCACACAATCATCTATAAGTAAACACTGGTGACAGTGGGTAAAGAAAACTCCTTTATAACATTAAGAAACCTGCAACAGAACCAGGTTAAGGGAGGGACGGCCATCTGCAGTGACCAGCTGGGAGCTGGAGGCTGCATGCCTTAATTCATTTTATTTGCGTTTGTTTAACCGGAATAATAAATAATCACAATAAAAGTGAAACTTCAGCATATAAAAAGTGAAACTTCAGCTCCACATGAGGCAGCCGTACTGGAGCAAGACTCTCCGAGAGAGTCAGGTGCTTCTCCACACAACAACCAGTCTGCACTGAGAAGCTTTTAGACTGACATTTCAAAATCTCAGCATGGGGATCCTCACCAACCTGTTAATAAACCAGGAAACTGGAGACTGCATCTGATTGGGCAGTTCTGAGTCTAATCGTCACCTGCAAGCTGCACAGAAGCCTGCAAGAAACACGTCAGCATGGAGACACCAGGATGAGAAATCCACTTACACAGACTCACTATCCCTCTGTGAAAGAGGAAGATCAACATCAGCCTCTAAATCTAATTAAGAGAGTTATAGCCTATGGCCCTGGGAAATAGAAGTGCTGCCTTCTGCAAATGGGACTGCAGAGTCTCCATCAGATTACAGAGGACAGCGCTAATGCAGACGAGTTCATCAGCAGCCCTGTTTCATACGGTAATCCTTAATGGGGGTGGGTTTAAAAAAATAGATTCATCGATTAAAATCGATTCTAAATGGAATAAAACGATATCAATTCATTAAATCCTGAAATCGATTTTTTTTATACATATGTAGTTTGCCGCGTATGAAACTTGCAAGCGGTTAACATGAGGAAGTCACGCGAGAGTTAAGTGACCTGGACGCATGAACCATCATGGCTACTCCCGGGAATGTGCCACCGAGCCTAAAGGCAGATGTCTGGCAACGCTTTGGATTTAAGAACTGTGAAGACAGTGAAGAGCCGGACAAAAGCAAAGCCATATGTAAGATGTGCAAAATGGAGGTAAAGCACTGTGGAAATACCACAAATCTCAGAAATCATTTAACGAGGCATCATCCAGATATCCCGCTAGCAAAAACGGCCGACACCAAGCAACGCTCACTCGAAAAGGCATTTGCAGTGAAGTTGGCATCCACTTCTCCACGTGCCCAAAAAATAACCCAGTCTGTGGCAACTTTCATATGTAAAGATATACGTCCGTACAGCGTTGTTGAAAATGATGGCTTCCAAAACCTCATTAATACGCTAGAACCACGCTATGTTTTACCATCACGCAAACATTTGAGTGAAGTGGTAATCCCAAACGTGTATGAAAAAGTGAAACACGATGTTACAGCCTCACTCAAGTCAGCAGAGAGAGTCGCTATAACCTGTGACAGCTGGACATCCAGAGCAACAGATAACTACCTGACTATCACCTCACACCATATCGACCAGGAGTGGAGACTCGTGTCTCATGTCTTACAGACAAGAACCACCGAAGCAAGCCACACAGCAGCTAATTTATCTGAAATTATGTTCAAAGCAATCGAAGAATGGGAGCTTACAAACAAAAATCCAGTCATCGTAACTGACAATGCTGCAAATATGGTGCGAGCTGTAGAAATAACGGGCTGGTTGCACATTGGTTGTTTTGCCCACACACTCAATTTAGCTTCACAAGCAGGACTGAAAGTTCCAGCTGTTGCTCAGCTGCTTGGCCGAGTGAGACGCATAGCATCCTTTTTTCATCGCAGCACTGTTGCAAGTCGCAAGCTTAAAGAGAAGCAAAAGATACTGAATCTACCTGCCCATAAGCTGGTGACTGATGGGGTGACCAGATGGAACAGCACATTGGAGATGCTGGAACGCTTCCTAGAGCAACAACCAGCAATCTCTGCAGCTCTACTCTCACCTGAAGTGAGGAGAAGTGACAGTAATCTCTGTAGTCTTACAGAGGCTGACATAACTGATGGAGAAGATATAGTGAAAGCTTTGAAGCCGCTGAAAGCAGCCACACTGGTTATGTCTGAAGAAAAGTCCCCGACCCTTTCCATCATTGCACCTCTGCATGCACAGCTGCTGGAGAAGATGATCAGTGTCTCTCATGACTCCTCACTGATTAAAGACCTCAAGACTGCTGTATACGACAACTTGAAGTCAAGGTATGTTTATGAATTGTGTGTATATGCCATGAATGAGTGTAACTGTATGGATGCATGTATTACATGAAAATTCTTATTATAGTGAAAAAATCTATATATTATAAAATGTTAGTTAAGCCCTCTTGTCTAGTAATAGGCCTTTTGATTTTATATCTATCTATCTATAGATGTTTATATATAAATTATGGAAACAAAGTCGTATATTAATGTTTCTGATCTTGCATGAGTGTATGTAACCATGCACATGTATATCCAACATAATAAACTGAGTTAAATGTGCAAAATCTCTTTTCAAGATATGTGGCCCTAAAGGACAAGCTCTACATTGCATCAGCATTAGATCCTCGCTTTAAGGCCCTGCCATTCTTGTCCAAAGAGACCTGTAACAACACATTCTCTCAGTTGGTGTTGGAAGCAGCAGGTTTGGAGAACGTGGACACAGCTATTGTGAGTTACAGAAACAAAACAAAAAATTATTGGTTTTTTTGCACTACTCGAGTTAGAATATAAATAGTAATTTCTTTATTAATTAAGTTTTCATTTTTCTACAGCGACAGTCTGATGGTGACACATCTGAGGAAACTGTCCCTGACATCTCTCTTGGTGGTGTTGATGAAGTGGATTATGCCCCTCCAATTAAGAGGTCAAAGGACTCTGCATTAATTTTTCTCCTTGGGCCAGCCTACTCAACAAAAACCACAGCACCACAGAAAACACCAACTCAGAAGGCAAAGGAAGAAGTGAATCGATACAGGGACGTTGAGCCTGTTGCACTTTCTGAGGATCCTTTGATCTGGTGGAGGGACCATGAAAGGGAGTATCCTCTCTTGGCTCTACAAGCAAAGCAGTATCTTTCCATACCTGGGACCAGTGTTCCTTCTGAACGAGTGTTTTCAACTGCTGGTGACATTGTTACCGCACAAAGGAGCTGCCTGACTCCACAACATGTAGACCAGCTTCTCTTCTTGCAGAAAAACCTTACAGTCTCAAAGAAGTGAGAGGGTAGTTATAAATAAGGCTAAATTGCATTAGTTTCACAGAGGTTTTACAATACTGTTCAATATGTTTTCATTTTTTGAAGTATTTTAAAAGGCAGTTTTTCATTTTCTGATCGGTCAGTTTCTGTCAGTTCACTTGTACATGCTGTGTTATACTGTGTGTCTCCAAAACACAATAGTGGATTTCAGAAAAGCTGTGTGAGACACTAACAGCAAAACTATTTCTCTGAGGTTTTACTGATGTTTACAAAAGATGTGTTCTATTTGCACTGGATCCCTGATCCACTTGAAATGTATGTATGAAAAAATATATATACTAATGTTAATTAAAAATTACATTATTTAACTGCTTTAGTATCTGTTCTTAATTTTGAAATTTATGTAATTCATTCACAAGGCTTAGAGGGTTCTTTTGACAGTACATATACAAGGTGAATTATCATAATTTTATATATATTATGGTTCATATAATAATATTTCGGACTGATTCAAAATCGAATCGAATCGAATCGAATTGAATCGAATCGTGGATCGAATCGATTCGGGACCTTGTGAATCGGAATTGAATCGATTCTAGAAATCAGTGACGATTCCCAGCCCTAATCCTTAATGTAAAGCATTAAAGTCTTCCTCATTTAAGACATCTGACGTACACCCTGAAGACTCTTGTTTAATATCACTCTCTCTGTCCAAATGCTGTACGTCCACGATTTTAGCTACTTTGTTAGGCTACTTTACTTTTCTAAGGCTTAAGTAAATTCAGGAGTGATCCCCAACAATGTCAGAGCTCTATTTGTTTCTATGGTTACAGTGCCCCTCCTGGTAGTTCCTCTCAGTGCATATTTGACAGAACGTAAACATTTCCCTGATTTAGTTTTAGACGGTAGGGGGGAAATGCGAGTGCTTCAGTAAAGCCAAAGTTGTTTTTTGGAATCCTTAAAATCATGAAAAATAATTTCAGGATGACCAAAAGGACAGGTACTGCTGACGTACTGATATATAACATTTGTGTAGCACTGCTGCTATATTTGTATTGCAGCAGTGCTACACAAATACATTCTTTAAAAGCCATACAATGTGATTTCCAGAATTGTTTCTTCAAAGCTGTCTATCACAGTGGGAATGCACCTACTCCATGATTTCTAAGTGGGAGAACTTGCAAAATTGCTGGGAGTTCAAATACTTATGTTCCTCACTGTAAGTTTCACTTTTATTGTGATTATTTTTTCCTGTTAAACAAACACAGATGAAATGAATTAAAGCCTTCCAACGGGGCATGCAGCCTCCAGCTCCAGTTCCTCACAGTGTTACTGGAGGCCAAGGTAATGCCATCCAGAGTAAGAATCTGCTTAGATACGACATTACTAAGATTTTCAGGGCCGAGTACAATAACCTCAGTTTGATCTGAATTAAGAAGCAGAAAGTTAGCGGCCATCCAGGTCTTTATGTCTTTAAGACATGTGTGTTATCTAGCTAACATGTAGTGAGTCGTTTAATCTTTAAATGACATTTGTAGAATTTGCCCACTTCCTCTCACCCACCAGTGAAAGGAGAGGAAAGGGAGAGAATCCTGTGCATACACAGAAATGAACAGCTGGCAGAATTCAATTCAATTTTATTTATATAGCGCCAAATCAAAACAAAAGTTGCCTCAAGGCGCTTCATAGATACAGAGAAAAACCCAACAATCATATGACCCCCTATGAGCAAGCACTTTGGCAACAGTGGGAAGGAAAAACTCCCTTTTAACAGGAAGAAACCTCCGGCAGAACCAGGCTCAGGGCAGAAAGTGGACCCTCGAACAAATGCTCATCCTCTGAAAAGGTCTTCAAATGTTTTCACTGTCAGTAGCAGTAGTTTCCACTGAACCAAATAATCCTAAAAATGTTTTTAAACCTTAAACCTATGAAGGCTGCAGGCCACAACGTGCTGGTCAGGCAACAAAGTTGTTCTTCATATTACTAAAATGTTGGAGCTTGTGCCTCTTCAGATGTTTGCTCTTCTCTGTGCAAATAGCCGAGGGGAAATGCCCGAAACCTCAGTCCTGATTCCACAGCTTTATTACAGCAGCCTGGTAGAAAAATATTTTTCACTATCAAATCAGGCCACCAGGGGGCGGAGCGGTCCCAGAAGTTCAGTCGTGAGTGATATCCAACCTCTCTTCTTCCTCGCAGCTCGTCTGATCGTGAGTCCCAACAGCTCTGATTTCTCTGAGGGAGATGTTGTTACTCTAATCTGTGAGGAGGACCAAAGCTCTTCTGATTGGACTGTGAGGAGAAACACAAGCAAACTGCAGAGGGCTGAGTGTGGAGATGGGAGGGTGAAAAAGAAACATGATCAATCATGTTCAATCAGTACGCTGGTGCCTCACGACACCGGAGTTTACTGGTGTGAGTCCAGTAATGGTGCCATCAGTAACCTGGTTAATATCACAGTCACTGGTAAGCTGATCACTCTGACTTTACTTCTTATTGCATCCACAAATTGAGCTGAACATGCAGGTACATAGATTCTGTGCTGTTCTTCACTGATCACCTACCTGACTGACAGAGTAATGAAGGACTTCCCTCCCTCGGTGCTTCTTAATGTGTGAGGATATTCTCCATTACTGAGTTAAGACTTCCTTATTTAGATCTAAGCTCTGGATTATCTTGCACGTCTTGTGGCTCCCAAATGTCTCTTAAGTTATTATCCTCTGTAGCCTCATACTTTAGCTTTACTTGGCAAATGTGAATGCTTTGTGTGCTGACAAACCCTTTTGCATGTAGTGTTTTTATGAAAAGCCTTATAATTGCCTAATTTTGTGTTTTTGTTCTGTTACAAAAGCAGGCATTCTTACTGTTGTTTAATATTTTACTCAAACCTTTAAGTTTAATTCAACACAAAAAGCCCCACTGTAAACAAATCCACAGTACAGAACCAAACTCAGCAGCCAAACAGTTTGTCCTCAGTGCAGGTCGACATTCAGAAAAACCAGCTGCCTCAGCTTGGATGGGCTGATGTGGTTTCTCCTTAGTATCTGCCCAGTTTTTGAGAAGACCCTCCAAAGGAACAGATGTTGCCACAATGCACAGTCTCCCCTCCATCACCTTCAACAGGTAGGGAAAGACTGTGGCCTTGGCCTCCCACCAGCTCTGTGGGCCTTCTCCTTGTTGGATGAGGGGCTCCTCAAGATAACATTTCATCTCCATCATAACATCAGCTGTAGTATTTCTCTTTGCAGCATCTCCTGCAGCTCTTTCATCAAAGAGGCTCCACACAGCAGACGTCTGTGGCTCCTCCTTCACTTGGCCCTGTAATGGTGGAGCTGGGTGGGAGTGCACTTTGCTGCTGCAGTTATTCTCTGAAGTGCCTCATCAACAGCTCTGTTGTCACTGAATGCTGAAGCTTTTTAAATCTACCATCCAGTGATGCAGCTTCTGAGTGGACGGTGTTGAACTCCACACACAGAAACTTTTCACACTCACTGCTAATTTTGTTTTACAGTGAAGCCACTCTGCTCTGCTAGTCCCAATATCTTTCACCTGCAGCAGATGCTGCTTCGTTTGCAGCTGTCAGTCATATTTCTGTGTTTTTGTGTCGCACTCTCCTCCACACTGCTGTCTGTCATCTCACAGGTATGATGTGCGGAGCGATGCTGAACTTCCAATCCCAGCGTTTCATGTTGCAGGATCAATTCCCATATGAAAATATCAATATCTAATTTGATTACATTTGTTTTTCATCATAAATATGACAGACAAAAGTAAATTCAGCAATTAGCGGGATGGTCTGCAATACCCTGTTAACAGGAACTACACTCACCACCTCTCATTCATGTGCGTGTTACGGCTCTGCAAGAGTGTGAGCCAATGAGAAACCAGAAGCACAAAACTTTAGACCACAGAACACACAATCTGATGTTGGTTTGTAAAGATGTTGCTGATGAGACTTTGTAGAAAGCAGCTGGTCTGAGTGATGTGATCAGAGTGCAGCAGATAATGTCTGACAGCAGTTTGAAGAGCAAATGGATTCTGTTCTGTTCTTCATCATCACCTACCTGACACCTCACACCTGTTTCTCACCTGCAGGTCACACAGGAGGATCTGTTGGACTGAAGGTCAGCCTGTCAGTTCCTGCTGTGCTTCTTGTTGCTGCTGTTTTCTTGATGTAGAGAAAACAAAAACAACAAAGAATCAGGATCCAGCCTCATGTTGAGCTGCAGCAAAATAAAATGTCTGAATCTTTTTAAATCAGCACTCTTAGTCTCCCGCTGGTGGTTTCAGCGTTGTCAGTGAACCTGGGGAACATGAGATGATGCTGGTAACAGAAATCAAAGGGAGTGAACAGCAGACAGGGATCAGCTGCAGGTTTAATACACGTCCTGAATTTGGTTTAGTTTTAAGTTTCTGTAAAATAAAACCAAACGTTGTGATTTGTCTCTTTATGAATAAAGTTGAATTGAATTTCTCTCTGAGCTCCTGCTTCTGTTGTCTGTCAGTGATTTTATCAGTTGGACATCAAGTAAAACTTTGGATAAAATGAAAACTGTTCACACAGTGTCTGTAAATCCACGGGTGAAAATAATACATGTAACATTCACACAAGTCCACGAGTGATTGAATGAAATGTGATCATGGAAAAATAAATTCAAAACTATTCAAGACTTTTACCATTAACTGTCATTCTATTATGAAGTAACAGGAAGGTAATAACACTATAATATAATAATAATAAAGAAAATTAAAAAATATGGTATAACAGAGCTCACTGCCTCACACTGTCGATAGCAGCATTTCTTTTTAACCTTATTTCATTTAAGGCTCAGACGATCATCTGTTTCCACTTAAAGTAGTCTAGCTCTGATATCACTTTAGCCTCTGGATGGAGGATTTGCTATGTTAACTTATAGATAATAAACTCAACGTATTACAGACCAAAACCAAACACGTCCGTAGTATAAGACTGGATTTAACTCCCTTCACACCTGTCTCGACACAACAGTCAGGTCAGTCCCTTCCCTTTTAAGAAATCCACCTTAAATGTATTTTAAATGTAAGTGATGCAAAATGAATTTAATATTTTATCTTTAGTTTGTCAGGTAGCATCAGGTCAGATGGATGATGTTGGGTGAGATGGAGCAGACAGAGATGTCATCACAACTGAGAGGAAGCAAAAGCCTCAACATCCAGGCTTAAAAGTGATGTAGGGAGCTAAAGCTAAAGCTCTGCTTTCTTTGTGTGCTTGTGCTAACAGCAACTAATGAGAAATGTGATGACAATTGTCCAGCTTTGTCCTTTTATATTCTACCAAATGTGAAGTGAACCTGTGGTTATACAGTAACGATAAGAGCATCTTTATTAGTCCCACATGTGGGAAATATGTTTTGTTACAGCAGGAAGTGGACAGTGCAGTTACATAGCAAACATGAGAGAACACTGGAATAGAATAAGAAACTGTACACAACTGTACCCAATAGAATAGAATAGAATGATAGGATAAAAATAGAACACACATGCTACATACAACTGAGTACAAATACAACGTTGTCAGAAAAAGAGTGTTACACTTAGTCCTATTGCACATGTGTGTGTTTGATCAGCTGCAAAGTCTTTGTGGTGGAGTCTGACAGCAGAGGGGAGGAAATCTCTCCGTCCCACATCGTGGGTGCTGCAGCCACTGAAGGAGCTGCTCTGAAGCGCTATAAAGGTTTGTGATGATCAATACAGGTTTACAGCTCAGATCATACTGAGTTCATTATGACTGATATAAATATGTGATAAAAGAATAATAAATCGAGTAAATTGTGATTGACAAACAGTTTTAAAGAGAAAGTTTGTTAGTTTAAATTGTGTGAAAGGTCAGAGATGGAGAGAACACCAGGCTGGGGCTGAATATCAGTGTATTACATGCAAATCTGATTGGATGACAGGACAGAGCATAAACTGAAGCTGGCATGGATGTTCTGGGTCTCCTGCCTCTGTGAGATCAGCAGGTCAAAGATTCAATAGCAAAACTTGGTTGTTCCAGCAGCGACGCCGAGGGCAGTGAGCTCTAAAAGCCTCCCAGATGAAAACGTGCCCGATCGAGAGGTGATCTGCTGCTGATGGGTGACGAACCTACTCAGGTCTCCAGCTCTTATCAGAGGAGGCAGTGAAGACACCTGAGCTTCGAGGCAGTCGGGCTGGGCCAGTCTGTGATTACATACTTTTATCTAAGTACAATCTGAGTATTTAACCTGTAAGTAATCTTACAGTATTATGTTATATTGTGAGTCCTTTTCACAGATCTTCCTAGGTTGAAAATGAAACAGTACTAAATGTAACAAGTAGACAGCAGCACTAAAGTCATCAGTTTAATGGACACAGAGGAAGCTTTTCAAAGGCTTAAGAAGAATAACATGATGCTAGAACATCACATTTTATAATATGACAGTAAAAATAACTCACAGAGATCATCTTCTATGTTTTCCTCCATAAGGGCGGCGAGCCTGGGTCCAGCTATTTGAGTGGTGCCTTGTTTTGGTGAAGCTTTTGAATTGCTTGGCCTTTGAGGCCTGCATGGAGCTCAGGCTGACACTAAGCACAGAAAAGGCCCACAGTGGGTGCACACACAGGATACAGATCTGTCAGGTCATGATCAACAACCACTGACCAAAGCCCACTGATCTCTGACCTCCCAGCCCATTCTTCCTTCAGTGGGCTGCTTTCAGTCATTATGCAAATGTTCTGTTTATAAGATTGAGGAAACCTGCAGTCAAACAACATATAAAAACATAAGATGGAAACAAACAGAGTGAAACAGAGTTTGTTTCCTTCCTGGTTTCCTGGTTTTCGTATGTTTGTCACACTTAAATGTTTCAGATCAAACACATTAAAATATTAAACAAAGAAAACACAAACTGAAGTTTGTAAATGAAGATGTTTGTTATTAAGGGAACAAATCCAAAGCTACATCATCCTGATCTGAAACATTTAATAAGTGTGACAAACATACAAAGAACAGGAAATCAGTTTGAGCAGCTGTAATCAAACTGTCAACCTTCACACGTTTTACTAAAACCTTTAATTCTCCACTAACATCACTTTGTATCCACGGTCACTCTAATGGACCCTAGAAAATAAGATAAAACACATTCAAAGACTATTTTGTGTTGAGAAGAAGTTTCTGGCTCTTATTCTATTTTCTAAAGGAGGCAAACAGCAAACAGGACTCTCCAGCTGCCCCGGAGCAGATTGTAATCATTGCTCTAGACGAGCTTCATCGTGTTGCAGACACACCTTCATGCTCAGGGCAGCCGTTACCTGTGTGCCCAAACTGAGTCTATAACAGTTTGTAAACTCTGTCAAATTTGATACGATGGATTTACAAACCACGGAGAACAAAGTACAAGCTGTCTCCCAGTGGGCTGGGCTTAAGGAGGAAAGTCACATGAGGCAGGAAAAGTCACATGAGGCAGGAAAAGTCACACGAGGCAGGAAAAGTCACATGAGGCAGGAAAAGTCACACGAGGCAGGAAAAGTCACACGAGGCATCATCAGTTTCTTTCTGTCCTTGATCATCTGTTTTTCGTCATGCTGGGTAACAGTGACTTCATGCAACATCAGGCTCAGCTTTATTCAGCTTTGAATACTTTGCAGCCCTTTCAATTGTTTTTTTACGTTTTTTTCTCTGGTTTTGTTTTCTTGTGCTAAAACCCCTCTCATATTTTCTGCAGATCAGATTAATAAGAAGAGCAACAACAACAAGAAGCACAGCAGAAACTGACAGACCAACTATCAGTCGAGCAGATCCGTCCTCCTTCTCTCCAGCCTCCTTCCCTCCAGCCTCCTTCTCTCCAGCCTCCTTCCCTCCAGCCTCCTTCCCTCCAGCCTCCTTCCCTCCGTCCTCCTTCCCTCCAGCCTCCTTCTCTCCGGCCTCCTTCCCTCCATCCTCCTTCCCTCCATCCTCCTTCCCTCCAGCCTCTGTGTCTCCTCCTGTCTGACCTGCAGGTGAGAAACAGGTGTGAGGTGTCAGCTGTCAGGTAGGTGATGAGTGAAGAACAGAACAGAATCCGTTTCCTCTTCTAGTTCAGGACAACAGATTAATACAAACTATTCACAATATGTATAAAGTGAGAAAATACTGGTGGATTTTTCGAGCTTCTTAAAAGGAAACAGATGTTCTGACTAAACATGACTAAAACTGATCCAGCTGTTCTTTATTATTTGACTGGATTAAACGTTTTAAACAAACTTGAAGAAGTCCAGCTCCTTACAATAGTTTTTTACAGTTGTTACACAGACAAACTGTATTATTGTCAGGGTCCTATGTCTGAGCGACCCAGGATCCCTGAGCAGTTATGGACCTGTTATATTACATGTATTTTTGGTGTTGCTGCCCCTCTTCTCCATGTTTGTAGATATGAGTGTGTGTGTGTGTGTGTGTGTGTGTGTGTGTGTGTGTGTGTGTGTGTGTCTGAACTCTTGTTTACAGGCACCTTCAGGCCTGGTGGGTGTGGCCCTGCTAGGGGACTGGCAACACCCGAAGCCACACACCTGCTGCTGATCAGGGCTCGCCGGGGGAGCTACTTAGGAGAGTCTTGGAGCTCCCACAGATGTGGGATTACTGCGTGAGACTCCCAAGTCAGAGTGAGTGAGTGAGTGAGTGAGTGAGTGAGTGAGTGAGTGAGTGAGTGAGTGTCCCCGCGGGGTCAGTGTTTAACGGCTGCCTCTATTGTTTTCCTACAGGAGGAACATGGAGAGGAAGAACAGCACGCACAGGGTGTGCAGAGTCACGACAGCGGGGAGCACGAACACGGACGCCAATGGACACACACGGGAGCCTTGGGGAGCACGGGGATTAATTGTGCATCGATATTTACCACACTGTAAATAAACGCTTCCAGATCAGTAACTCAGCTCAGCTGGTCTCATTACAGCGAGAGGGCAGCCATGTTTTTAACACAGCTGCAGTAAAGATACTTTACAATAAGCACTGCCTGTGTTCAGATAAACTGCCAGCTTAGTTTGATTTGATCTAAACCTGACAGAGTGACAGCAGCCGTCCTCTCTCTGTAACAGCAACAACATGCAGGGAGTCTGCTCAGCTACACATGGATTAAACTCTGAGGTTAAACTATCAGGACATAATAGAAGTCAGTGAATTAATAAATAACAAACTAGCTCAGCTGGAGTCTCACATTGTCACAGATGAGGATGATAACACTGACTCCAGAGTGAGCAGGACACATCTGTGCTAAAGAAAACTGATGGAGGCCAACTGAGTGTGGGTGGATGCTGGACTACCAGCCACAAAGACAACAGCTGGAAAAACATCTGTCTACCTCTGACA